CTCTCCCGGATTAAGGCTTCCACGTTGATTATTAGACCAAGTAAAGGGGGGACCATTGAACTCCAAATCCATAAGAGCACAACCTGAAAGTAACTCAAGAAAAGCATGGATTTGAGTCATTCTACAAACTGCACCTCCTTCTTTTTCTGTACGAGCACCAATTTCATTAAAATCGCCTATGCACAATCCTGGGTAGTGACTATCAGACATTAATCTATGAAACTGAACCCAAAAACTTCTCCGAACCGACCTTTGCGAAGGAGCATGAAGAAAATTAGCGACCCAACTGATAGGGGCAGTTGGCGAGGTAATTACACCGCGGATCAAATAGGAAGATTTAAACCGAATATTCAGCTCAATGTCGTCAGTCCACCATACAGCCAAACCTCCCGAAGTGCCTACTTGGTCAACATAGGAAGAATGAGAGAACCGTAACCGCCTTATGATATTGTCCAAACTCGATGACATATTTTTCATCTCCATAAGAAACACCATTTGAGTGTTGAGGATCGGGGGCACACCAGGGAACTCAAACAAGCAATAACACACAAGATTTAACGTGGTTCGGCAAGTCGCCTATGTCCACGGACAGCGGATTCACTATATTGAACAAAATGGTAAGAATTACAACACTCTCTGTAATTCTCTCTCTCTCTTTGCTCTCTAAGCTCTCACACCTCTCAGCTATACCTCTCAACTCTCCTTAGCTTCTCTATATATAGAGATTACAAATGCAAGAGAAAGTCTTTGAAATGGGCTGGCTGCCAGCCCATTGTTGTGCTTTCGGTGGCTTTCCAGATTGATGCTTCACATGGCTTCTCATGGCCTCATGGCCAACTCACATGGCCTCATGGCTTCCCCACCATGTAGCTGGCTGCCACTTTCCATCACATGGCCAGAATCTGTAGCCAATATTCAACAAATCTCCACCTTGGCGAGGATTCTCTTATCCAACATAGTGATCGATCAACACTGCCATGCACCCGAAGGTGCACAATTCCGAGAGATGTTGACCAAGTCCAAACAATGTTGGAACTTGATCCCAGAAACTACCTTTGTGAGCATATCGGCCGGATTATCTGCAGTACCAATCTTTTGAAGCAGAATATCCCCTTCATTCACAATTTCTCGGATGAAATGGAAACGGACATCAATGTGCTTGGTGCGGGCATGATGAACCTGGTTCTTTGCCAAACAAATGGCACTCTGACTGTCACAAAACACCTCAACGTGCTTCTGAACAATTCCCAAGTCTTCAATCAACCCATGTAGCCAAATAGCTTCCTTAAAGGCTTCCGTCACTGCCATGTACTCTGCCTCTGTAGTAGACAAAGCCACCGTTGACTGAAGCGTTAACCTCCAACTTACCGGCCCTTTAGCAAGCGTAAATAAATACCATGTTGTTGACCGGCGTTTGTCTAAGTCACCAGCATAATCTGAGTCCACATATCCTTCCAAATTCTGCCCGAGTCGGTTATCTCTCTCAAACTTCAATCCCAGATTGACCGTGCCATGTATGTACCTTAGAATCCATTTCACTGCCTGCCAGTGATCTTTTCCTGGATCATGCAGATACCTGCTTACCATACTCACAGCATGCGAGATGTCAGGCCGTGTACAAACCATAGCATACATTAATGCACCAACTGCATTTGCATATGGAACCTGTGCCATATGCTTCCGTTCGTCTTCTGTGCGTGGAGACAACGAAACACTAAGCCTGAAATGAGGGGCCAATGGTGTACTTACAGCTTTGGTTTTCCCATTGATGCCAAATCTGTCCAAAACCTTTTTCAGATGCTGGGTTTGTGTCAGACAAACCGTGCCCTTCTTCCTGTCTCTCTTGATCTCCAGGAATACTCCAAATAGTTGGGAAGCACTATTGGATCGTCAAAAACGGGCTCCGAATGGCTCCGATCTGGCAAAAACACTTTGGACGGGTCCGATCTGCAGAATCTGGTGCGCTGAGATGCACCGGATAATTTCTCCGGTCAACGGCTGGTCAACGGCTTGGTCAACGGCGCAGGCGGCGCGGTCAACGGCGGCTTGACAGCTGTTCAACGCGGCTTGGTCAGCGGCTCAGGCTGACTGGGCTGACACGTGTGCCACGTGGTGATGACGTGGCGCGCGTGTTGATGGCGCGTGTATGGCACGCCCTGTTCCCTCAGTCGTCGTCCTCCTTGAACCGCGCGTGAGGCGCGTGGGTGAGATTGGGATCACGCGCCGGGTGCCTGAACGGCGCGTGTGGGCGCGTGCCAAGATTGGGACTCACTCGCCAACTTCTAGGGACGCGTGAGGGCGCGTCCAAGCACCTTTGGGCTCTGTTTTTGCTGTTCTGGACTCCTCTCGGGGAGTTCTTCCTCCTGGTATGGTCAAAAGTGGATTTTGAGCACTTCGAAATCTGGGCACTTTCGGAAAAAATTTGATTTTTCGCAACCCGAGCTCTGATACCAATTGTTGAGGATCGGGGGCACACCAGGGAACTCAAACAAGCAATAACACACAAGATTTAACGTGGTTCGGCAAGTCGCCTACGTCCACGGGCAGCGGATTCACTATATTGAACAAAATGGTAAGAATTACAACACTCTCTGTAATTCTCTCTCTCTCTTTGCTCTCTAAGCTCACACCTCTCAGCTGTACATCTCAACTCTCTTTAGCTTCTCTATATATAGAGATTACAATGCAAGAGAAATTAAGCTGGCTGCCAGCCCATTTCGGTGGCTTTCCAGATTGAGGCTTCATGGCCTCATGGCCTCATGGCCAACTCACATGGCCTCATGGCTTCCCCACCATGTAGCTGGTTGCTACTTTCCTTCACATGGCCAGAATCTGCACCAATTTCATTAAAATCGCCTATGCACAATCCTGGGTAGTGACTATCAGACATTAATCTATGAAACTGAACCCAAAAACTTCTCCGAACCGACCTTTGCGAAGGAGCATGAAGAAAATTAGCGACCCAACTGATAGGGGCAGTTGGCGAGGTAATTACACCGCGGATCAAATAGGAAGATTTAAACCGAATATCCAGCTCAATGTCGTCAGTCCACCATACAGCCAAACCTCCCGAAGTGCCTACTTGGTCAACATAGGAAGAATGAGAGGACCGTAACCGCCTTATGATATTGTCCAAACTCGATGACATATTTTTCGTCTCCATAAGAAACACCATTTGAGGACGATGGGTTGCGACCAACCCTCGGAGGATCTGGACTGTCAGGGTTCGCCCTAACCCCTGACGGTTCCAGCTAATGATCAGCATGGAGGTCGTGGCTGTTGAGGGCTAGCCACCAAAGCCATTCATTCAACTCATGATTTTCGGTAGAAATTGAACTGGGTATTGAGAGCAATCTTCAAGATCAGAGGGGAGAGAGGGTGCTTGAGATAAAGTGGAGAATTGCTCCGGCGTTGAGTGTAGATCTGCCACCACTTCGACATCAACAAGATTTTCCTGCCCCAACTTACCTCTACCCCGAACACTCTTCGCACATTTCCTTCGATGATTGAGGTTTGCAGACGGGAGCGGCTGCGAAAAGACGGGAGAGACTGTGAGAGTTTGAACTGGAATATTTGTAAGGGCCCCTTGGAGCAGCTTAGGACTTCTCTCTGGGAGCTCCTCCTCCGTTGAAGCCTTACGTTTGATGGACAAATAATTGAACAAAGTTGACATATATTCATCCACAGCGATAATCTTTAAAACTCGCCGAGTTGGGCTTGAGGTTGGGCTAATTTCTTCTATACTAATTGGGCTAGGAGAGCAGCTGGGAGAAGTCGGTATGGGACCTGAAATTATTCTACAGTCTATCGGTTCTGTGACAAAGTATTGGGGCGTAGAAGGAACTGATGGCCCCATCAAGTTCTTCACTGAGCCCAAAGCCTTGTGGCCCGCATGCCCCAGGCCCAAACCACTTTTTCCAGGGCCACCCATAGAGTTCAAAGAGTCCACACTTTCTTTACTCAAGCTCATAGTTGGAGTGGCATGTTGATTGGTATTATCCCTCCCCTGGTCTCTGACCTCCACAGAACCCACTACGTGGGTAGTACACTGTTCCAAGGATTGTGTGCCACTACTCCGGTCAGGGCTCAGACTGGTACGATGTGTACCTTGCCCTCGCAGCACGGGCTCACGCACCGGCACCGGTTCTGGTTCAGGCCATTAGGACTGTGGCGGATGCAGGATTTTCCTAACCCTTGTTTCCAGCTCATCCACTTGCTTCTTGTAGTGCTCCATCGGCAAACCAGTTCTCCTAGGAATGCTAGTTCTTAGTTCCGGTCGATAACCAGACCTCTTGCCGGTTTCCCTTGTGACAACCTTACAAACATTCCGGTCATGACCAATTCTGCCACAGTCGAAACAGAAATCAGAGAGCTTCTCAATCTTGAAGGAAACCCAATGATTCTGGGTGCCATTCGGAGATTGTCTACTGCTTGGAAGATAGAATCCCCGAGGTAGTGGTTTAGAGATATCCAGTTCGACCCTTATCCGAAGAAAATTCTGGGTAAAGTAAAAGGCCCTCACAGTGAGCCTCAACTCTGATAAGCCGCCCTACTTTCCGCGCAATGGTTTCGTCATTAGCCTTAGTCATCTTCTCCAAAGGGAGACCATGCACTTACATCCAGAATGGACACCAAGTGAACACCATTTCTGACACTGGAGTTCCTCTTTCCATGGGTTAGAGAATAAGGAGGTGACCCATAATGGACCAAGGAGCCTCTTGAAGAACCCATCGGCGGTCCTCAGCATCCTCAAAAGTGAATAAGAACAAGTTATCATTCCACGGGGAAATCGAGAAAGAGGCCCTCGCCTTCCAAGCCCCATGTAAAATGGAGGAAACTGCTTGTTTGTTAAGTTGCTTGGAGGCCAGAACCTTGCCTATCAAACACCAGTGAGAGACATCTTCGGTGATATCAGGCCCATCCTCAAGTTGAATGAAATCCAAAGTATCATCCGTCAAATCCGATGATGAGGCCATTAGAAACCTCGACTTCCAAAAGTTACTCTTATAGTTCTACTAGACTTCCTTATAGTGGGAGGCAATGGATCTCTTGTTCTCATCTATGCTGCTGGGTTGTTTTTCTCTGGCCACTCTGGTTCTTGGGTTGGACGACAAATCAGGTTTGGCAATTTCAACCCTGAATTATGGGTTTTTATTTTTACTTTTATCATTTCATTTAATTTCTACTGCCATACCACTCGTGCTATATACGAGATAAAATAATATATTATTTAACAAAAATATAATAATTATATTTAATTTTTTTATATTTTGTAAAATAAAAGTTAAATAGAAGTTAGCCAATTGAGATTTTCTTAATTATTCAAAATAAAAAAAATTAGTGTGAGATATTAATCATAAAACTTCTCACTAAAAATCTCATTTTACTTATATAAATGGAAGTATAAGATTCACTTTATGTAAATGAAACAATTTACTTTTTTCTTCTTTTCTCAATGTGAGATAATAAAATAAAAGTTAAATGAAGCCAGCCAATTAAAATTTTCTTAATTGTTTAAAAGTTAACAATTGTTTAGGCGAGAAGTTTATTTCGAATCAAGCAATCTTAGCCGTTAATCTTTAATTAGGTCAATCTTTAATTTATTTCGAATCAAAGAAATTTAACCAATATATTTTGATAAAACTGCTAAAATCGCAGTTAAACTAGCGAATCAGTCAAACTAAAAACGGTTCACCCTATCGGCTAGGTTAAAGGACCAGCCAACTTATATAAAAACTAATTAAATAAAAATTTTAAATTTTATTTTAATTTTAAAATTTAAACTGTCTTAAATTGAAACATACACAACACTAAAATATTAAATGGGAGCATAATGTTTTTATAGTAAAACAACTCATTTTTCATCTTTTTCCTGATGTGGGATTGTAAAATAAAAGTTAACAGTTGTTTAGACAGGAAGTTCATTTCTAATTAAGCAATCTCAGTCGTTCAATTTTTAATAAGGTCAATCTTAGTTTATTTCAAATTAAACAAATCTAATATATTTTGATAAAACAACTAAAACTGTGGCTAAACCAGTAAATCAGTCAAACCGAAAACGATTCAGCTTAATCGGCTTAGTCAAAAGATTAACCAATTTACAACAAAATTAATTAATTAAAACTTTTAAATTTTATTTTAAAATTTAAACCATTTTGAACTGAAACATGCACAATACTATAATATTAAATGAGAGTATAATATTCACTTTATATAAATGAAATAACTCACTTTTTATTTCTTTTCTCGATGTGGGATTGTAATTATTTTAAAGTTAAATATTATGAAAGTTTCAAAATCTCATTCAAAATTATTTTTAAAATCAAAACGTCTATGTGGAATTGTAAAATAAAAATTAAATGGAAGCTAACCAATGGAGATTTTCTTAATTGTTTAAAATTAAGAAAATAAAAATAAAAATTGTATTGATTGTAGGACTTCTCACCAAAAATTTTCTTTTGTTTATATAAATGAGAGCATAAGATTCACTTTATATAAGTGAAATAATTCTTTTTTATTTTTTATTTTTCCGATGTAGGATTATAAAATAAAAGTTAAATGGAAGCTAACCAATGTGAATTTTCTTAATTGTTTAAAATTAAGAAATTTCAATAATTTATTTAAATTGGAGCATAAGATTCACTTTATGTAAATGAAGTAATTCACTTTTTCTTTTTTTTTCGATTTGGAATTATAAAATAAAAGGTAAATAGAAGTTAGCCAGTGAGAATTTTTTAATTGTTTAAAATTAGAAAAATTCAATAATTTTAGAATGAAGGTTTAGAGCTTCTAGAAGGTTTATCCCTTAAAACTCTTCTTATAAGATTCATTTTATTCTCACTTTTTCTTTCTTTTCTCGATGTGAGATTGTAATACTTTATATAAGTGAAACAACTTACTTTTTTTTTTTCTCGATATGCGATTGTAATTATTTTAAAATTAAATATTATGAGAGTTTTAAAATCTCATAAAAATTATTTTTAAAATCAAAACTATGTGAGATTGTAAAATAAAAGTTAAATGGAAGCTAGTCAATGGAGATTTTCTTAATTGTTTAAAATTAAGAAAAAATAAATAAATATGAGATATTGATCATAGGGATTCTCACTAAATATCTCCTTTTGCTTATATAAATAGAAGTATAAAATTCATTTTATGTAAGTGAAACAATTCACTTTTTCTTTCTTTTTCCGATGTGGAATTATAAAATAAAAGGTAAATGAAAAAGTCAACGAAAATTTTCTTAATTGTTTAAAATTAAAAAAATTCAATAATTTTAGAATAAGGATTTGAAACTCTTAGAAGGCTTTTCCCTAATAACCCCATTTTATATAGATATAGATTTGAAAATTTGTTCTTTTGTATGGGTGCTTGTTCTCGTGTGTGGGTGTTTGTGATTTGGGTTTCTTTAGTGACCATCTAATGTTTGAAAATATGCTTAACTAGACTGTTTTCTTGTGTGTTTTTGTGATTTGGGTTTCTTTAGTGATCATATAATGTTTGAGAATATGACTAACTAGACTGTTTTCGTGTGTGTTCTTGTTCGTGTGTCAGTTTGTGTGTGTTTGGGATTTGGGTTTCTTTAGTAATCATCTAATGGTTGAGAATGTGCCTAACTAGACTGGTGTCGTTTTTGTACTTGTTCGTGCGTGTGTGTTTGTGAATTGGGCTTCTTTTGTGATAATCTAATGTTTGCGATGACTAACTAGACTGTTTTCGTGTGTGTTCTTGTTGGTGTGGCAGTATCTTCTATATATTTTCATGGCACTGTAGTAAATGTGCCCTCCAAATTTATTTTGGCCCTCTATTTCTTGTCTCTAAGTGAAATCCAAAAGATTTTAACCTTCCATTTTAACTTACTTTACGTTTTGTATTTCGTAGGTACCCTGTACTTTTAAAGAAGTTTATTAAACAACTTGTTTTCCCTTTCCATGTTCCTTTGCCATTTGGATGAGGTTCAAAAGGTTCTAAGGGTCATGCCACATGGGCGCCCAATTTCTAACAGTTACAAACTCAAAAAAAAAATACTCAAAAAAAATTTTAGAAAAAAAATCAATGGTTTATATTCATCGTAAATGTGACTCACATCTCACTAATTTTAAATTTACATCGCACGATAAAATTCAAAATAAATTTTCATGGTTCATAATATCTTTCTTTTCTCTTTCCTTTACCTATGTCCCTTTTCAGTCTGTCCCTTTTCATTAAGTAACACATCTTGTGAGGCATATGATATTACTTCTTTCATGGTTTATATTTTTTTCATTCATTCATTTGATTTACATTGTTATTACTTCTTTAAATTTCAAGACATATGATATATATATCACCACATTTATTTTAATTTTTTACTTTATTTTCTAATAAATGTCTGTGTATATGTGAGGCATATGATAGAACCCATCATGTCACATGAGAAGTTACATGAAAGTAAATTTTTTTGATAAAGCATTTAAGCAATATATACAGCCCTATTAAATTTTATATTAATTTACCTTTGATTCAAGATTTATTACATATAAAATAGGTCTAACTAATGTGTTTCTGATTTGGATTTCTTTAGTGATCGTGTTTTGTTTTGTTTTTTAGAATGTTCCTAACTTGACCGTTTTCATGTGTGTGTGTTTGTCACTTGGGTTTCTCTTGTGGTCATCTCATCTTATGTTTGAGAATGTGCGTAACTAGGCAAGATTCTTTAGTTATGGTGATGTTGGGGTTTTATTGCTCTACTCTGTAGTTTGGTAGCTAAAACTAAATGAATTGTTTGACAGGAAGAAATTAAAGTGTACCAAGCATTTTTAACTTGCTTTTAGTTAGTATGAAAGATCACGTGTGGTATTGGAAATAGAAATAGAGATTGATAACTCAATTACTGACAAACACTTGTAAAAAAAAATTATTAGCATCTCCTTAGCTAAAAGAGACTCTCTTTTGTTTAAAAGAAAAAATCTTTATACACTTTGCAAGGGTAAACTATTTCTTAAATTAATGAATTTTAACTCAATTTCCACAAATCTAATTTTAACTCAATTTTCACAAACCCAACAATCTTCCTATTTGACAATATATACATGTGTATGTCTGTCCCTTGGCTGGATTTTTTTGAGATGTTTTGTTAAATGTTAATCCAACTATTATGCTTCAGAGACATATTAAATGCCAAAATTCATCAAAAATATAATTGCAAAAATTTTACCTGCTAAGTAAGTTGCTAACAACCTTTTTTTCTCTTCCTGTTATTGAATTGTGAAAGGTATCATAAGCATAGATTGTGGGATACCAGAAGGCTGCACTGATGAGATTACAAAAATATATTACAGTTCTAATGCACAATTTGTGAACAGTGGAATAAATGGTGATGATACTACTAGTCCCTAATGGACGGGTCGGGTTGATCCACTCCCCCAACACCGTTGACCGGTCGCTTGGCTTGCAAAGATACCTACACAAAAACCCAACGGGAAACAGGAGTCCCTCAGCGAACCCTCCGACGAGCAAGTTAGAAGAGAGAGAGATTAATGGTTTGTAGAGAATAAAGTAACGATGGGGAACTTAACCTTCTTTTTTCCTTAGAAACTTGTTTATATCCTTTGTTCATCATTTCCTTGTACACTCCGACCTATCATGTTGGTCGAAAGTCTATGCTCTAGCTTACTTTGTTCATGGTGAGACCGTTCTATTCTGATATGAAGGGGTTATCGCATTAAATGCTATAGGGGACCTCATTAATGGCTGATGTGTGGTGCAAAAACTCTGCAGGATCTTTGTCTGCTTACGTGGCTGGTTCTTCTCTTGACAAGTGTTTAGATGCCATTGGTTCTTGATGTAACATTGAGTTCTAGTAATGTTGGGCTTTAGTGTTTGAATCGTGTATTGGGCTTTAAGTGGTGGGTCAAAAGCCTCTATGGACCCACCTATTTCAGTAGTCCCCCATTCCCAAGTGCAGCTTCAGTCCAACGAAGGGAATAATGAAGAAGATGGGGATTGTGTGTGGCCGAGTGAGAGAAAACTGACTGGGAGGAGGGCCAACCGCAAAGGGTGACCGAGCGAGAAGACCGACTGGGAGAAGGACTGACCGCAAAGGGTGACCGAACGAGAAGTCCGACTGGGAGGAGGGCCGACCGCAAAGGGTGACCGAACGAGAGGACTGACGAAGAGGAGGGCCAACTGCAAAGGGTGACCGAACGAGAAGTCCGACTGGGAGGAGGGCCGCCCGCAAAGGGTGACCGAATGAGAGGACCGACTGAGAGGAGGGTCGACCGCAAAGGGTGACCGAATGAGAGGACCGACTGAGAGGAGGGCCGACCGCAAAAGGTGACCGAGTGAGAAGACCGATTGGGAGGAGGAAATGGCGGCGTGCGGGGATCGAGGAGCGGCGGGGTACGTGGTGATGTGAAGTGGAATAAACAGGGAAGGGGAAGAGAGTAGTGGATTGCAGTCGTACACGTGGCATAATCTCGTAAGAAGGGAGGTGATGCATTAGCAGGAAACGAAGGAATAGGCTAATATAGGGCGTTGAAAAGACGGGGGCGGAAGTTTTCGAAAATTTTCAAACTGGCGAAATTGAATCTCGATCCTTGGAATATAGGGAAACTATGGGCATTTGGAGTTATTCGTTTTACTTACCTTGTCACAAAAAACCAACACATCCCAGAGTTGCAATCGTTTGTTTCGTGTGACACACCGCTGCGACACTTTGCGAACTTCCTTTTGATAGCGTCTGAAGCGATACGCAGACACGTAGAAGGGATGGCTTGAGATGAAGTGCCAACTATGAGGCTAGATGCACTGGGGGAGGGCGATGCAGTGGGGTTGGCTGAACAATACAGAATAGAGAGGAGGGAGGAAAGGGGGGCCGGACAAACGGTGCGGGCTCATCCAGCGACGATGATTGTAGCCGCTAGGTCAATTAGCCAAGTGGAACCGAACCACTGGCATACTAAGGCCGACAAATCTACATTCACGGCATAAGAATTGAAGGAGGTACGAAGGAAGTACCAAATTCCGGCGGAGTTAGAGCTAAGGTTGTCCATGTCTAAGAAGAGGGCATCGGACGCACGACCGATGGAATTCACGTTATATGAAGAGGCACTACCGGGGGAAGCTGAGGCTGCCGCTCCCCCAAGTAGTGGTGGACGTATTGAATCGACTTGAGGTGGCACCAAGGCAGCTGATGCCCAACGCATGGAAGATACTAATGGCTTGCGCGGTCGCATGGCCACAGGCGACCAGGGGAGTGGCTATGACGGTAGAGGAATTCTTCTCCTACTACAAGGCCTCCGGTCAGCAAGAAACGTGGGTGACCTTGCAAGCGGTGGCGGGTCGTGGTCTAGTGGCAGGCTTGCCATCTTCGGTGAAGGGGTGGAGGCTGAGATGGTTCTATGTATCGGCGAACGGTGGGAGAGGGGTTTGCACAATGTGGAAAGTCCCGACAAAGTCAGTGGAGCCAAGGCTGGATGCGGAAGCTGAGAATAGGGTAAATATGGTGAAAGAGTAGAGGGAGAAGGAGGAGGCAAAGTGGGATAACCTGATCCAACCTTCAACCCTGTTTGCCTTGAGCCTGGGGCCACAGCCGATGGAGGAGGATCCAGCGCGGGAGGAGTTGGAGGCGAGGAGGAAGGCGGAGGAGGCAGAAGAACAAAGAGCGTTCGCCAAAGTGGACAAATATAAGGAGGCACGGTTGGGGCCTGCACCTAAACTGGTGATGAGGGAGTGGGTCCGACCGCGTCCCAAACCGTTAGGAGACAAAGACCTAACCGACTTTGCCCCACTTCCGCCCTTAGTAGACCTGTTGAAGGAGAAGGGCAAACAGGAGATGGAGGCAGTGTTAAAGAAAACGAAGAAAAAGAGGGCGGCGGCAGAAGGAAGTAAGGACGCCTTTGTCTTGAAGAAAATGAAGGAGGGGAGGGTAGAGGAGGCTCCAGAAAGGGAGACTGCCCAAGTGGTGAAAGAAGACATGGGCCCAAGTGCCCAAGTGTTAAAAGAAGACATGGGCCCAAGTGCCCAAGCGGCGGCGACGGTGGGGCCTGTGGTAGAAGTATCACCCAGTCCAGGTGAAGGGAATACTAGGATTAGTAAACCAGAGACGAGCGCTGCGTTGAAAACCGCCATGTACCACGCGTGCGCGTTGGCAGGTTGCTCGACAGAAGAAGGGGGGGAAGCTAGGGTCGCAGCCGACTGCCTCGTTGGAGTGGTGGAGGACACGACTGTGTGGTCGATGGCGCGGTTGACAAAGGTCGACTTCTTGAGAGGGTTTTGCTCGGCCCAGATGGAGGTAGCGACCGTGGCGGCTGCCCTGATGAATAAAGCAACGCGTGCGAAGGTGGAGGTAGAGCCGCTGAGGGCCCAGCTGGAAAGGGTGAAGGCACAGCTACAGAACCTAAGGGTTAAGATAGCGACTGGAGGAAGACCGCTCGGAGTGCGTGTGCAAAGGGGCTGGAGTGTGCGCAAAGGGCAAAGAAGATGGAAGTACTTGCGGTGGTGCAGAGCTACTCAGCAGAGCGTACTGGTGCCGAGCTCTTCGTGACCAAATCAGAGCTGGAAGCGAAACGCCACAAGGTGGTATTGCTAGAGTTCGAGCTGGCGGCCGAGAAGAGGAAGCTAGACCTGGTCCAACAAGCCTACACCACTGCCAATTACCAACAATGAAGAACTGCACGACCAGGCAATCAAAGACAAAGAAAAGATAGATGGTTAGATCACAGAGTTGGAGAAGGCCCTGGCAGAAGAGAGGGCCAAGTTAGCATCTGAAAGGGCGACGTACCCCGACTTGTGCATGGCGGAAGTGGAGCAATTCAAGGGGTTCACCGAGTTCCAGATCGCCATTAATGCTGCGGTTGCCAGGAGCATAACGAAGGAGGGGGAATGGGGTGCTAGGCCATCTAGAGTGGCCGCTAGAGGGAGGAGCGAAGAAGAAGTGGGAGGAGTGAAGAAGAAGTGATCCAAAGCTTCCAGTGGTTAGACTTCTAAAAGCACGAGATGAGTCAGTATTGGGACAGTGGCTGGATGAGCTTCAAGTATAAGGCACAAGAGTTGTTCCCAAGTGTGGACTTCAGTCTCGTGAAGGTAGGGGAAGACGACGTTGCCCAAACCCCCTTGGATAAGGGGATTGAAGAAAAAGATCTCGCCTACAGCGAGGGGGAGTGATCTCTGTAACTAAGTCTAAAAATTTTGTTTTTGTTTGTTTGTTTGTTTTTTTTTTTTTACATATAATTTCTGCAATGAATTGTATGAAAGTGTAAGTTGGTTAATAAAACAACGATTTCTCTTACTTATTGTTGTTGTTGTTATTATTATTATTTTTTTATTTGTAAATTTTGAATGGTGAAAATGGCTGAGCAAAATTGGATAAAAAATGGGTGAGAAAATGAGACTTGTAAGTAAATTGTGAAACTTGTAAGTAAATTGTGATGTAAAAATGGAAGAAATGGGCAATCAGGTTAACTTGTATGTTCAAATTTGGGAATATGAAATTTCGTAAGTAAACTATGATGCAAAAAATGTTAAATGGGTGATTAGTAAAAAACGGATGATTATGCTCTGCGGTTTTAACGAAGTTTGGACGAGATTTGGAGGGCTTAGTCTGGCTAAGGTTTTCGTTAACTCAGTCTGGCTGCGCTCTTCGTGCCCAGCCTGGCTGAGGCTTTTAGTTAGCTCAGTCTGGCTGAGCTCTTCATGCTCAGTCTGAGGCTTTTAGTTAACTTAGTCCGACTGAGTTGCTCAGTCTGGCTGAGACTTTGGGTAAAGAGTTGTTATTGAAATGTAACACAAATAATGGAGATGTCAAATTGTTATCATTTAAAGTGCAGCCTGTCGATCACAAGTTTACACCATGTATGGAAAGGGACAAAAATGAACAAGTGTGCAAATCGTCAAAAAGAACAGACAACAATCGATCAATACAAAAATAGGAGACGCCATTTTACTGGAAATAACGCTTCAAGTGCTCGGCGTTCCATAGATGAGGGAGGTCTTTGCCTTTCATATCTTGGAGTCGGTAAGTGCCCAAGCGGGGTCTGGCCTTGACAACGTAAGGTCCTTCTTATTTGGCAGCCAGTTTGCCCTCGGTGGGATTTTTAGTGGCAAGGGTTGCTTTGCACAAGACTAGGTCTCCCACTGCGAACTCTCTCGGTCGGACTTTGCGGTTGTAATGTGTTCTCATTTTCTGCTGATATGACACCCGTCTAACAGCAATCGTCTCTCTGAGCTCTTCAATCAGGTCCAAATCAGCCCAACGCAATTCTTCAGTTAGTTCTGGATCCGGGTGCAAAACCCGAGGGGTTGGCAGGCTGATTTCCACTGGGATGACCGCCTCAGCGCCGTATGTTAGGCGAAAAGGGGCCTCCCCAATAGGGTTTCGGGTGGTAGTTCGATAAGCTCAGAGTAGGTTTGGTAGCTCCTCAGCCCAGAGTCCTTTAGCGGCCTCCAACTTAGTTTTGATGATCTTTAGGAGGGAGCGGTTGGTGACTTTGACTTGCCCATTGGCTTGGGAATGACCTAGGGAAGAGAAACATGGTCTAATGTGGAATTCTGCACAGAATTTCCCAAACTTGGCATTGTCGAATTGTTTGCCGTTGTCTGAGACGATGGCTTGGGGGATTCCAAATCGGCACACGATCGACTGCCAGATGAATCTGGTTACGTTCCGCTCAGTGATTGTGGCGAGGGCTTCCGCTTTCACCCATTTAGTGAAGTAGTCAATGGCGACAACAGTGAACTTGGTTTGGCCCCTACTAGTGGGCAACGGACCAACTAAGTCGATGTCCCACTTGGCGAAGGGGTAGAGACTGTAGAGTGTAATCAGTTCTGTCGATGGAGCATGGGGGATGTTGGCAAAGTGCTAGCGTTCATCACACTTAAGCACAAATTCGGTGGCATCTTGGTTAATAGTAGACCAGAAGTAGCCGGTATGAAGGATTTTATGGGCCAGTGATCTGGCACCCAAATGATTACCATATACACCCTCGTAGACTTCCCTCATCACATAGGTCGCTTGAGCAGGACTGAGACACCTGAGGTATGGGCGTGAGAATCCGCGTTTGTACATGTGGAGAAGTGGTTTGAAAATACTCTTCTGATCCTGGGGAATGCTCGTGATCCGCTGATAATCACCTGAAAATGAATAAATGCTCTGGTCGGGGGTGCCGGAATTAGCACTCCGACGGACAAGTCAAAATTGTGGAGAAGTGGTTTGGAAATACTCTTCTGATCCTGGGGGACGCTCGTGATCCGCTGATAATCACCTGAAAAGGAATAAACACTTTGGTCGGGGGTGCCGGAATTAGTACTCCGACGGACAAATCAGTCTACCCACTCAAGAATGCTTGTATTATAAGTTAAGTACAACAATTCTCACCTGCCTCTTTTTGGCTGATGTTCTTCTATTTATATCTTTTCTTCCATGGGCCTCGGGATTAGGTCCATTTCCAACTCCATATTCGGCACATTTTGTAGTAGACCGCTCTTTACTCAGCCCCTTGCTTAATCGGCTATTTGGCCGAGTAAAGTTGGATTCAAGCTTGCGAGCCGATGCTGAGTGCAACGAATTTTGACTCTCCCAGGTCCGACTATCCGGAATCTCTACGACTTCCAATACTCGGTCCCTATAATTGCCCCCCAAGCACTCCACTAACGATAGTTGGCTGGAGTGTTTGGCTTCGAACTCGAAAAATCAGAGCCGAAATTTGGCGGCTGACCGTATTCCAACGCAAATGTCTGAACACACGCTTCTCGGTTATCATTTCAACTTCTTGCCTCTTCGTACACTTCTATTTATTGTGATTTAAAATTTCGACGTCTTTTCAAATGCATATACGCTTGTAGACGCTCGTCGCTGGACCGTCTTCCGAATTACCTCTGCAACTTCCTCCTCTTCTCTATCTTCTTCGCCTCTTATAAGTTCTCTCCTTCTCTGTTTTAAATCTCTTTCCTTGCTTTGTTTTTTAGCTGAGCATATTCCTATTGGCTGGGGGAAATGGCAAAACATTTAAAAGATCTCCTCTCATTAGATCGAATTTCTGGCTTCCGACGCCATTTCTCCATTCCTGATGACGTCCGTCTGTCACTTGTGACAGATGGCACCCTCGATATGGAGAGGGTTGATGAAACCACGATCGTCTTCCCTCTCTTATCAATCACAGAGGGTGGAGTCCGTTTCCCCATTCACCCACTCCTTAGGGCCGTGCTCTGCCATTGGGGCTTAATCCCTTCCCAACCCAATGTCAACTTCTTTAGGATCGTGATGGGGATTATCGCACTAAACCATCGCCGTGGGCTTAGCCTTGGCATTCCCGCTATTCGGCATTGCTATGCCTTGGCCAAGTTTTCTGGTTGGCACGGGCGTTATTTCCTTAGGGCGAAAGACACCGACCATCAACTAGTGACCATGCTTTCCAGCTTTGGAAAGCGAGTCAACGATGTTATGGCCGTCGTCCAAGGAAACTGGGAATTCGGCGAAGGCAAGGACCACCTTGATCGTATTCCTAGGCGAAGGGACGAACCAGGTGGCCGAGTATCTTCTTTTAATTATTTAATTTTTGTTATAATCTATGAAGCTTCATTTTCGGGACCTCATGGTTTTGCTTTTGCAGGAAACGATTTGAAGAAAGTGTTGACCTCAACTGACGACGCCGTCCTTTCGAAAATCCAGACTACGCTCAAGTATTTCAGCTGGCCGAGTCTTCAGAAACAGGGGAGGGCGGCCCACGTTCTGCTCCACTACGAGCCGACTTATACAACCTTTTCGACTGCAGAAAGCATCCCAATTCCGAAGGGTGAGGAGTTTCTTACCGCCTTTATCTTGACTGATTTCAAAAATTTAAGGCAAATCGGTGTTGGGAGATCAGATTCGGAGCGACCGGAAGTAGCTGAGGTTGCCAAGTCAGACCAATCCGAAGCTGAGGTCGACGAGGCTTTGAAGTTAGCATTCGAAGAAGTTGGCCTTAATTCGGTTGATCCTCTATCCATTTCGGGTCGAGAGGACCTTCCACTTGACGATATTTTTCACAGTCTGGATGATCTTCCCAGCGCGTACACAGAAGATATGGCTGGGTTGAGTCTCACTAAACTTGCCAAGAAGGCAAACGCGAAAAAGATGGTCGTGCGGAGAAAGGCGGAGGCCATTCGGGCTTCCGAATCTCAGCCCCCACCTATTGGCGAGTCCCAATCCTTCTTGCCTATTATTGAGGAGGGAACGGAAAAAAATGGGAGTGTCGAGGTGGAACCTTTTGTACAAGCATGTGTAGAGGTTGAGCAATGGGTGGAGAAGTGCACTGCCGAGGTTGAGGCCGGCTCAAAAGAAGACCACGCCGACAAACGACCTCGTTTACAAGGATTGGATGTGATTGCACCTTTTGTTATTCAGCCGAAGATAAAGAATACGCCGATCTCCTCCGATGCTTCAGTAATCAAAGATCTAGCGGTCGCAGTCGGCATGGCCACGTCCGTTTCACTGCCTGCTGACAAGGCAACTTTTCAGGCGGAGCCAGATCTGGTTGCAATTGCGTTGGCCGCGCAATCGGCTCTTTTGGTATACATCTTGACTGTGTTTTCACTTAACGCCAATATTGTTTTGGTCTAAACTTCCTGTTTTGTAGGCCGTCAGAAGGATAGCCAAGATAAGCCGTCGTCATCACGATGCCATCGAGCATATTGGCCGTTTACAAGCGGAGGTTGACGGCCAAAGGAGTAGGGCCGAGTTCGAGGTGGAGAGAGCCCGCAATGCTGAAGAATTGAGATCGGTCACCGAGAAGAGGGCGAATGCAAGCGACGATGCGCTTAAATTGGCCTAGGAGGCGATCTCTAAATTAGAGGCTGAGTTGGAAGAAATAAAGGCGGCGAAGGAAACAGCCGATCTAAAGGCTTCTAGTGCATTCGATGCCGGGAAAAAATCTACTTTTGATGAATACGTAGAAGAAGTCCCCAAATTTGAAAATCGGGGTTTCAATCACAGCTGGCTCAAAGCCTTTGCTGCTGCCGATGTAACATTTGCTACGCCAATTCCATATGAGCAAGTGGATGTTGAGCCGCTGGAGTCTAACTCCGAGGACTAATTTGGGCGGCTCTTGTTTTTGTTTGTTTTTGTTTGTTTTTGTTTTAGGATTTGCGTGTATGTTTTTAGCTTTTTATTTAGTAATTTTCAGCATTTTACAACTTTT